TACATTCTGACCAAGAATCCCCTCCCCCCTCTACTCCACAAAATTCGCGTCTGTGCAAGAAGTTTGTGGTATCATTCCATTGGCATTGGCAAGCCAGAAACAGAGACGGAGTCTTTTTATTGTTTTGTTAACGAAATACAAAAAAAAAGAACGTAGAAGTACCGTCTAAATGATAAAAAACAAAGCGTAAAGAAGTGTAAAAGTTGTACTCCTTATATATATATGGGTGCTGGGGCCTGGGGATCTCGAGAGATCTGCGTAGACCCCCTTGGATGACGCCATGTTTGCTTAACGGGGCCCGAAAACCCCTTTCGCATTTACGGCTAGCCGCCCAGTTGGGTGGTAGTGGGTGGTTTTGGGTGGTTTTTGGGTGGCTGGGTGGTTCTCTGGTCTGTGGCAGCCATTCCCGGCCAGGGTTTCAATTAAAACATCACCCGGCAAGAAAGAGCGACCCTCTGCCGCCCGCCACTTTGAAATTATTCAAGTGGTCAGATGGTGTTGTTCATTATTCCTGTAGTTGTTTTTGTAATTGTGCACACTCGATGGGGTTGAAAGGCGCACGCACACATATATAGTATATATATATGCATATCCTGGCAGTCTCCGGTCACAGACACAGATACACGCTACATCCGCTCACATTGGTAGCTGTGCGAGTGCTTCAATTCGAACATAATAAATTAATTTATCATCAGAAAAGAATCTCTGCCAGCTAACTGTAAAAGTTTCACCCTTAAAGAGAGAGAGAGAGAGAGAGGGAGGGAAAGAGACGCCATGTGTAATATACACACACATACTTGAATTAGTCGCTGCACGAACAAATGTCGCCTACACATCCTTCCAGCCTTACTTTCCCCAAGTCCCCCCAAAAGTCCTTCCTTTCTCTCTACTTCTCTGCCAGAAAGTAAAGCCACAGACCGAATCGCAGTCCTTGTATACGCTTCGAGTTTTTCAAGGGGGGTGGAGAAGGTGGAGGGGGGATCCAAGGGATACCAAGGACCAAGGACCAGGGACCAAAACCAAGGACCCCATGCAAATGGAGAATGAATAATGCGCGCCAAGTGGGGTCCACACATTCGGCAGGGCTCTGTTATTAATTGCCCACCTTCAACCGCGGCACGCCACTTATCCGGCAGAAAGCAGTCCGATAGAGACTATTAGAGATATAGAGTGGCTATACATGTGGTCCGAACTGGAGTATACCGAATTTTACGCTGCAGAACAAAACAAAGTATATCAAAGAATAGTTTACCATATGATTTTATGCACAATAACAGTTTATATAACAAAATGTTGTTAAATAAATTCACTAAATTATTTTAAAAGTTCTAGCAGATTTAGAGGACAATAAGATTAGTTACTATATTACTACAATAAAAGTTGCTGTTTAAGAAAACAAATCCAAATTGAGACGAGTCCCTGTTGTCATAAGCTTAATTTGCATCACATTCAGTGGATTTTCATATATGGAATGACATACCTCTTTGAGTTTGAAAATTAAAATTCTAATCTACTGGCATTTAAGCATGAACATTTTAATTTTTTTTCGTTTACTCACTAAAAACATGATGTGAAAAAAATAAAAAGAAATTGTATAAAAATAGGTCTTTGAAGAATGGATTTAAATTGTTAACTTTGGTTGTCAGCTACACAAAACAATCTGAATTTAGCTATGAGGCTTATTTTCCAGGTACCGAAAATAATCATTATATGTGAGTTAATATTTTCATTAACATAAAACTTAAAAAACTTTTAAAAATAACGAATTGTCCAAAGTCTTTATTGTTATTTTGGACCATATAATATGTATTTGGTCGAAACAATCCAAAAAATAGCTGAGAAATATAAGTCGGACTAAGTTTTACTAGTATATTAATAACCAATCAATGGTTATCAATCCTGTACATTTTTATTCTGAGTCGTAAAAAAAGTATGCTAAAAATCAACCGGTAAGTCATTTGGATAGTTAGTTTATGTTGTCAGCTACAATAAACCATTAATCTTTTAACCATTTGTTAAACAATCAAGTACGACATGATTGTATAAATGTATTTTCATTAAACTATAAATTATTTGATCCCATATTCAATTATGGTATTAAAAAAAGATTGTATTAAATATTAAGGACCGAGAGAAAACTGAGGTTTTAAAGGTGATTTCGTAATTCATCTCCCAAAAGATAAGGTAAATTAAAAAAATGCATAACTCTTTGTCTACTTTCTACCTTTACAAAAAGAAAATATCTGATTCTTTCAAATGATATTTGCTTCTGGTATTCAAGTCCCTAATATATGATTACGAACTCATTAACGATTGGTACTCCTTGAATTTGATCGAAGACAAATAATAAACTGGCTTTTCCGGGAGCGGGGTAGTTAGAAAGCCCCCCCACCCCGCAAGGACTTTTCCCACCAGCCGTTCGATGTCCGTTTGCAACCACCGGAGAGTCAGCGGCGTCGAGCATGTTCGACAGCGGACAAGGTTCGAACTGGCCAGTGGGCGTCGGTGGGTGGTGTGCGTGTGTGATGGTGGTGGGTGGGGATTTCTGCCGCAGTAGACGGCGACTGCGCTGCCGGAGTCGCATGTGTGAGGTTCGGTTCGTTTTGGCTGGGTTTCGGTTTCGTTTACAGATGCCAGATGCCAATTGAAGTTTCCGCACATGACAATTGGGGCGGCCAGTGGCGCTTGGATTGGTCACCGGCTGGTCGAGTGGTCACCGGGGGGTGGGGCAGCGGGGGCGGGCGGCATTGGTGGGCGGCCAATGGGGTCATTCGCTGGCGCTCTCTTTCTCTGCAGCTCTCATTTTCCTCCCTATTTCCCCAGCCCTTTTCTATGCACCCATTTTAAGTGCGCCACCTGGCGTCTGCCTCTGACATACCCCCAAATGTAGGCAACACTTTCTCACCGCACGATCGCTTTCCAAATTTTTTTGGTTGCCTACTTTTGGGCTGTCCTCTAGGTGCCGCCGCTCTGCTATAAAAAATCCTACTTTTTATAGCAAATAAAAATCGCTCGTTCGCTTACAGTTTTTCAATTGTATTTTTATATTTTTGTATTTTCGTAACACAGACAACTATCTTTTAATTATTAATTTTTAAATTTGTGGTTTTTTTTGGTTTCCTTTTTCGTATTTTCGTTATTGTTACTTTCAAAAAATTACACACATTTGAAAAATATTTTTTTTTTGCTTTTTCCATTCGTTTTGTTTTTCGGTTTTCGTTCTTAATTCGCCCTTCTTTGCAATAGCTCTCGGCCAAATGAGACAATGTCCTGGTTTTTTAATCGTTTTTAGTATAAAGTTTTCTTTTTTTTTAATAGCTACAATTATTTTTCTAAGATTTAATGATAGTTTTAGTTTGCTTCGTTTCGTTTCGGTTGCCGTTTCGCCTCTGCTCTGCTTTTTGTGGATGAAATCAATGTTGTCAATGGGTTAACCAAAAAAAAAGAAATTGCCAAATAAAACATAACTCGTGTGTGGGTTTTTTTTTAATTTTCATGGATTTTTGTTTATTCAGTTTTCGCTTTATATATATGTTCTATATATGTGAAACATAATGCATATTTAAAACCTCATTCTTAAATTTAGTACATGTCGAATTCCATAAATTATGTACGGTAAACTTCGTCGATAAAAACGGAGGAAATCGCCCGTAAAAAGGCAATTACGGATATAACTGCCTTGGTAGGGGGATTTCCAGGTGGGATTTTTGGGGGGACTCGAAACAAAACAAGGTTTAAACTAATTTTGCGCCTTTGAATTTTCGCTCACAAAAAGGGTATTTTCACTACAAAAACAAACAATTAAATATTAATTAAAATTTTGGATCTCAATCTTTTGTTTTAGTTTCAATCAAATAACGAAAATCAACAGCAAAAAAACAATTCATAAAAAAATGCACTCTCTCGTGTCCTTTCAACTTCATCCTTCCTTTTCATTGTCCGTTTTCCAGCTCTCTATCGTCCTTTTCGTCCTTCTGTCTTTTTATTTTCATTTTTTTTTGTTTTTTGTTTTGTAGCAAGAAAACAATTTTCGTTCTCAGTTCTTCAGTCTTCTAAATCTAGTTTTTTGTCGTTTTTGTTTGTTTGTTTGTTGTTGTTTCGGTATTTTTTCTCGTTAATTGCTTCCTTATATTTCTTATATTTCACTTGAAGTTTTACGTACAAATTTGCATCTTCGCCTTCTCTCAATTTGCCTTCTGCCTCAATTTTTTTATGCATGATTTTCCTTCTCAGCTTAGACTAAAATTGTTTAAAAAAAATTTGTGTTTTACATTTATATTTATTTATGTATGTAAAAAAATTTGATTATTTTTCGTTTTTCTCATTTAAATTACATTTAATAATAGAATTATTTCTAGGCAAAAAAAAAAACGAGAAGGGGAAGGTGGAAAGGAAATAAATCAAGGGGAAATCAAAGGGGAACGAATACATATACGATAATCATAATTAGAATTAGAGTTAGGATTTTTACAAGTGTTCGTCTTTAGTGCTAGGGATCTAGATTTACTAAAAAATGTACATCAATGAAAAAAATATTCATTCACTCGCCCATATCGATAATATTCATATAGTAATGCGTTTACGTTTAGAGTATAATTTTGCTTATTTTTGTGGCTCGCTGGGAGCAGAATTTTTTTCATATTTTTTTTTTGTTTACTTTTAGTTGTAGTAGTTTTCCTTCATTCAATTTATACAAATCCTTTTCTTTCTGTTTGTCTTACTTAGGTCCTAGAAAATACACTGGAAAATGTGTGTCCACACAATTACTCACTAAAGCGATTATATTATTACATTTACGTATATATATTTATATACTATTTATTTATATATATATAAATTACAAGCACGAAAAAAAATTGTTGGAAAAAAATGTGTGTTCTGTGTAGGTTTTTGTTTTCGTTTACGTTTTAGTTCTTTAGTTTTAGTTTAAGAAAAAAAAAGGTTCGAATCTTTAAAATTATATTACATAACTGTTATTGCTTTGGTATTAAATGCCTCTGGTCGTGTTTTTTTTTCGTCGCCTGGAAGGAGCTGGATGGGGGCTTTTTTCAAAAAAGTCATATTTACAGGGGGCTTGGTTCGGGGGGGGTTCTTGTTTTAAGATCTTTTCAACACCTTTAGAAGATGCGCGACATGATGCGACTGCGACTGGTCTGCTGCTGCGGCGACTGCTGCGGATGATGATGCTGCTGCTGCTGCAGTGGCGGTGGTGGCGCCAGCGGCACGGGAAAACCACTGAAAAGTCATGCCTCCTCCTTGAGCGAAATGGGATGGACGCCGGTCATGCTGGAGGAGGCATTGGAGTCATTGTCCCCGCTCACGCTGCCCGGCAGTGAGAGGTTGTGACCGCCGACGAACTGCGGCGGATAGCCAACAACGCCCATGGGCGACAGTTGCTGCTGCTGCTGTTGCTGTGCTGCTGCCGCCGACTGCTGGGCCGCCTGGGCCTGGACCGCCTGAGCCTGTACCGCCTGCGCCTGCTGGGCGGCGGCCTGAATGTGCTGGGCGGCAGCCTGGGCCGCCTGAGCAGCGGCCACCGCATTGGCAGCCGCCGCCGCCTTGCCCTGATTGACCACACACTTGCGCATATGCTTCTCCAGCGTCGAGGGCACGCTGAAGGGCATGTCACAAAAGCGGCAGCGGTACACATCCTTCCCGGTCCGCCCGTGCGTCTTCATGTGCCGCGTCAGCTTGGAGCTCTGGGCGCAGGCATAGGAGCACAGCTCGCACTTGTACGGCTTCTCGCCGGTGTGACTGCGCCGATGAACGGTCAGGTTGGAGCAGTTCTTGAACACCTTGCCGCAGAACTCGCAGGTGTCGTTGCGCTGGCGGCTCTCCTTCTTGAGCAGCGGTCCCTGGATCAGCGAGTTGGCACCGCCCAGGCCCAGTGGCTTCAGCTTGAGGTTCTCGAAGAGCGCCTCATTTCGGTGCAGGGCCTGCGACATGCCCCACCAATCGCCACCGTCCATCTTCATACGCTTGCTCAGCTCGAAGGGATTGGGAAAGGGATTGAACAGGGGGACCTGCGAGGGTGCTCCGCCATCCTGCGGCTGCTGGAACATGTTGCAGTTCTTGGCGAACTCATCTCGCAGACGCAGTGCAGCCACCGGCAGACCGTTCAGCTTGTCACTCAATGGGGCACCGGCTCCGCGATTGTTGTTGTCAGCAGCTGCAGCGGCTGCGGCGGCGGCAGCGGCTGCCTCTTTGCGTCCAGACTCCTGCAGCGCCTGCTTGTAGGCCTCACTGTACTGGGCAATGTTCGACAGACCGAACTTGTCCATCAGTTCGCCCACCAGTGAGGTGGCTCCCGAGCTCGTCGTCTTGGGACTCTGGCTCTTGCCATCGATGCGATTGCTCACACTCAGATCCTCCGCCTTGTAGTCCATGTCCTCGCACTCCTCCAGCTCATCCTCGTCCTCATCCTCGCCATCCAGATCGCCATCGCCATCGGGATCATTGTCACCATCGCCCAACTCCTCCTCGGACTCATCGGGATTGGGATCCTCATCGTTGTCCGCCTCATTGGTCTCCAGCGAATCGGCATTGCTGCCATCGTCCTGGTTATCCTGATTGTCCTGCTCATCCGCCGGACTGCGATGCACCCGCATGTGCTTCATCAGCTTCTGTATGTGCGAGCACTCGAAGTCGCAGGCAGTGCACTTGTAGGGCTTCTCGCCGGTATGGGTCCTCTGGTGGATGATCAGGTTGTTCTCGAAGCGGAACTTCTTATCGCAGTAGCTGCATGCGTAGCAATTGGCCGGCTCCTGGAGCAGCACATCGGCGGTCTTTGAGGGTGGTGTGCTGGCCGAACGCGGAGTGCTGGCCAGGATTAGGCCCACGCTGCCGTTTTCCGAGCTGCCATCACCCAGTTTCTCGGGCGGAGTTAGGGAATGGGGTCGCGGGATGGCTGCCAGTTGCTGTTGCTGCTGCTGTTGCAACTGTTGTTGCTGCTGCTGCTGTTGCTGCTGCGAGGGCGAGGGGCTCGCGAAATGCGGCGATTGCTTCTGTCGAGGACTCGGCGAGCTCGAGTTAACAGTGCTGCCAGCTCCAGGGCTTGTTGTGCCCGCAAGCTGACGCAATCGCTGCGAGTAAAAATCCATCTGCTGGGGTTCCAACTTCAGGGAGCCACCCGCTCCGCCCACCAGACCAGGTGTGATCTGCTGCTGCTGTTGCGCCTGCTGCACACTCTGCTGCTGTTGCTGCTGTGCAGTTTGTTGCTGCTGCTGCACAGATTGCTGCTGTTGCTGCTGCTGCTGGGAGCTGAGCGATGGTGGCGGCAATGCTGCCGGTGGCACCGATCCCCTCTGGCTGCCTGAGCTGCTGGAGGATGGGGGACGAGGCTCCACCGAACCGGGCACCACCTGCCCATTGGCATTGAACTGCGCCTGGGCGGCAGCAGCGGCGGCGGCCAGATTGAAGCCGTGGTGACGGAACTGCTCGCTGACCAGCTGCTCCATGCGGTAGTGATCGGCGGGCGAGGGGCGTCCGAAGAGCGGCGCCACCGTAGGAACTACATTTCCGGCCTGGGCCAACGCCGGCGGCAGTGGCATCCGCAGCAGCTGGAAGGGATTGGCGTGCATCGCCTCCGGCGGCGGCAGCAGCGGATGATGACGCATGCCGGCGGCCATGGCGGAGGCCAGATTCTCTCGCTGTTGCTGCTGCACACGCTGCTGTTGCTGCTGTGCCTGCTGCTGCTGTTGCAGCTGCAACTGTTGCTGCTGCTGCTGCTGCGGTGAGCCAATGCTGCTGGTGTTGCTGATGCTGCCACCGCTGGTGTTCACCAGCGAATTGGAGCAAGTGGAGCTAACCGAGTTGTTGGACAGAATGGCCGATCCGGCTGCCACCGGACTGCTCCTCTTGCCCGCCGATTGGGCTGCGGTATTGGTATGCGGATTCGAATTGGGATTGGGGCTAACTGCTGGCTGTGGACTCGCCAAACCGGAAGCGGAAGCGGCTGCTGCGGCGGCGGCGGCCAAAGCCAGAGCACTGCTGTTGAGGGCGGCGGGCGTGGCCACCGTCAGGGTAGCTCCTCCGCCACCTCCTCCGGGACTCTCCACATAGATCTTCACGCCGTGCGAGTGCTGGACATGCTGGATGAGGCGCCAGGCGGAGGTGTAGCGGGTTTTGCACGTTGAGCACGTGTAGTTGCTGGGTTCTGGAAGATAAAATAAAGAGATATCATGTTTAGTACACCAGAAAAATAAGGAACATATAAGATTTAATAGGGTAGTAGAATTTAGATAAAAGTGGGAATATGTAATCCATTCAATTTCCGATTTTCAAGCAAAGATATTTTTAAACCTAATTTTTAGATCCTATAAAGAAACTATTTATAAAATGTAGCCTGTAGTCTTAAAAACCATCTCTAACCCTTTAAGATAACCCACTATATGTTTTATATTATAATATAACAGCTTAGTTTTTTCCTTTTCCTTAGTAAATTAATACTTTTAATTAACTTGGCATAGTTAAACCTTTAAATTTGCTACCTTTCCAAGCAATCTCTTTAAATTGCATTACCCGCTTAGCTAGAATTTTGGTCGTGTGTAAATTCAGGTTGCCTGGCAATTTCGTTATTAATTATTAATGAGCATTTTGCGGTGGGTCGAAAAGAGGGAAACGGGGGAAGGGGGCGGATCCTAGCCAGTATTTATTTATTTATTGATTTTGCAGCGCGGTTGGCATGCCAAAATGCGCCAGGACACGCATGAAGCCCAGGACGGAGATTGCCAATATAGCGAAGGATATTGGCCCATGCCAAAGCACATACATATATGTACAGCACATGTGTGTCCTTTAGTTTGTTGCGGTTTTGTCGCGACATTTGTTAATTTGCCATGGCGGAAATGGCATCCCTAAAAACCACCCACCGAATGTCCTGCGTCCTGTGTCCTGCGTCCTGTATCCCATATCCTGCCACACATGTGCTGCCCCGCGCAACAGATGTAAAATTGGAAAATTTATGAAAAATGTGCAAGGAAGACACTTTCGTTCGTTTTTTGCGCCGCCACAAAAAAAATGAAACGAAAATTTTCTAATAAATAAAAATTGAAAGCCAAGGCGCAGTAGCGAGGGCTAAGGACCTGGCCACATGTCGCCACACCGAGGACAACAAGGTGTTAATGCCATCGAAACTATGCTGAACGAACTACCCCCGGGATGAGGACGCACTCTGCATTTAAATGACGCCTTTAAAACGCACGGAATGAAAATTTCCCGAAAATTATCCATAAAAATGAATGGCATTGGAAAAGGCACGAGACAGGACACGCATTCACCACACTTTTCCTTTTTTTATTTTTTATGAGAATCCACATTAAAGTTGTAGTTGCAGAGGTGGCGATGGAGGGGGGGGTTTGAAAAGTGAAACAGCTTCCTGGCGCTGTCAAAGGTGAGTCGTGTTCAACATGATTTCATCGCGACCCTTTTGGCAGCGGGGTATGGGTTCAGGATCCTGAGATCCCGGGATCAGGGATCGCTGGCCCGCATGCCACAGGAAATGCAAATGAATCTGACAGATAATACGTTTTCAATGCCTCATCCTCATCCTCATCTCCATCCCCATTCCCCGGTGGCAAACACAAGAAGCAACCCTTGAGTCCTGCCAGCGGAAAGGGTTGTGCGATCGCCACAAAAAAAGAGGTAAAAGTTGTCGAAAAACATCAGGCATTATGTATTTTTGTCTGATCTGATCCTTGATCGCCCAGCTCGCGATGCGCACGCGCTTCAAAATAATTATTTGGATAATAAAAAAAAAAAAAGGAAAAGAGGCGAAGAACGGGTAAAACACAAAAGGCGCGGGCTTGGCACGTTCTGATTCTGTCAGCTGTCGAATGCGGCAAGATCCGACACGGAAAATAAATTTAAATATTATTTTCTGTTAAACCGATGAATAAAAAAAATAGGAAAAAGGTCTCATAAATAAATTTTTTTTGTTACATAAAGAAAATGCCTAATTAGGCTGAGGAATAATCATAACAAAAATATATTCATGTCATGCACGAAAATTTATTTACAGCTGCCGCTTCAAAATGATTCATTTTGAATAAAAAATAGAGATTGTTAGGATATCATTTTTTTTAGTATTTTGAAAATTTTTCCTAATATTATCTATATATTTTTCCCTAAAATATACTAATAATAATCATAACCAAGTCAAGCTTACAAATTTATTTACAGCTGCTTTATAAATATTATTTATTGCAAAATGCTAGGGATTATTTAGGTCTTAATTTTCAGTATTTAAGATATCATACTTGGGTAATCTGCCCTAATATTATCTAAATATATTTTTCCCTCTGCACTTCTCTATCTCTTTCTCTCGAGACAAAGAGCGGATGTCCTGCCACCGGAAATGGCAAATTGACCGCCCGGAAGTGCAGTCGTCTCACAGTGCGTATGAGCGATTTGGCCAGCGGGTGGCGATGGAATAGAAGGGTTGTGCGCGTAATGGGATAATTGTTGCAGCTTCGCCAACTGTCAGCATCCCGTAAGCCAGTGTTTCTCTCTGTGTGTGTGTGTGTGTGTATCCTTTTCCGTCTTTTTCCGCAAGGGACAAAGGACAATGGGGCGACATCTAATCCTCCGCAGGACGTGGAATTGCATGAGCCAAAGGCATTAGCCATTGATTTCGACCATTCGACCGTTGCTCGTGTTTTTTGCACTCTCTCCTTTTTTTTTGCTGGCTTAGTGCCAGCATGAGTCAATAATTGCGGTCTGAGCCTTAACCCCCGCCCGGCACCTGTGCCGGTGACCCTTAACCCTTAACCCTCAACCCCCTGGCCGCCGCCCCCGCATTAACCCTTAACCCTTGATGGGGTTTCATTGTCGCTGCGGTCGCGACATGCTGAGCCTCGAAATTGATAATTAACACGGCTCTTCCGCTGACAGGTGAAAAGTCCTGTGGCAAGGACATGTTGCATTTACATTTTTGCAACAAATATCCATTTTGTTGACAGTTGTCGCCGCTCTCCTTTTTCTTTTTATTCTGGCTGGCTGGCTGGCTGACTGGTTGCCATGGCGTATTTATAATTACCAAATGGCCAACAATGGCCCAAAAGGAAGGAGTTAGGTTGGACAGCCCAGTAAAATAAAGTACGGAAAAAAAAACAGGCAGAACAATGCGTAATTAACGCAGCTCTGTGCGATGTATCTTTGTATCTGTATTTCCAGATGTACATATCTGTATCTATATCTGCTGTGTGTATCTATATATCTGTGTATCTGTGTGCATCTCCGTTGAGTTGTCAGTTGGCATTGTCAGAGTGAAACAACTTTTTGCCTTATTGTCAGTGACTTTTGTTGTTCGCCGTTCGCTGTGTTCGGTGTCAAAAGCGCAAAAGTTCAAGGGTTAAATGGCGTATGTGTAGCGTGTAGCTTTTAGCTGTTCTTCCCCCCCGCGAACCATCTTTCTAGGTATAGTATTCAGATACATATATTCAGATATACCAATTTTCAATCGTTTTGCTGGCTGACACGCGACCTTCAGCTACCTATATGTGCTGACCTCTCTGTATAAAAAAAACACCTCTTTTCTAGGGAGTTCAAGTCAAGGGAATTCCTATCCTTTCATTTATATATATTTATACATATTTTTTTGTTGAAATATTTTCGCTTTTGTGCGTGTGTCAAGTCCAGTGCGATGTCCTTTGTCCAGTCAAGTGGCCTTTCACCCCCTTTGGCATTCCTTAGCTGTTTTTGAGGCATTCAAATTAACCCCGAGGGCAGCTTCCAAGCTTCGCAGCTCCGTCCTTATTGTCCTATGGTTAGAGGTTAGGGGTTAGGGGTTACCCTTAACCGTTGCCATAGTCCTGCCTGTATTTTTTGCTTTGTTTTTTCTGTGCTGTCTTTGGCTTTTCATCAGCATCATCATCATTGCATTGAAATGTCAAAGTCAAAGGCCGGCAAAGGGCTTCGATTGTCGCGCTGTCCGAGTGTCCTTTTTCGTCCTGCTGCCACTGCCACTGGCACTGCAGTTTATCAGCATTGAGAGCTGCGCTTTGAAGTCCGCAGTCCATGTCCACATCCACGAAGTCCACATTTCGCACAGCCCGCAGTGTCCGCGCTTTTTATCCCCGTACTATTATTATTTTTTGTGTACTTTTTCCTTAGCCCATTGGTTCCCCCCAGATTGCTTTGCTTTTTGCTTTTTTGAATTTTGTATTTTGTTTTTTCCCTGATTTAATGCAGCTGCAGCTTATCGCTGAGGGCCCGCGGCCCGATCATCACATCAAACACATTTTTTATTCAACGCTGCTGCTGTTGCTGCTGCTGCTTTGGAGGGAATTTTAATTTTGCCACCCAAATATGCGCCATGTTATTTGGCCAGGATGGGGAAAATCATCATTGGCAGTGTCATGGGCGGAGGGAATTGCAGGGAGTGGGGGGCAGAAAGGATTCGATGCGACGCAACTCACCTGTGTGGACTGTATTGGCCTCGGCATCGACCAGCTCCATTTTGGGCCGCTTGGCCAGCGACCGCTCCTCCTCCTCCTCCTCCTCGTCGTGGTCATCGTGCTGATGATGGTGATGGTTGAGACCCTCCTCCTCGTAGGGCTCCTGCTTGACCTTGGCCTGCTGATCCTGCCGATCCTGCTCCTCCATCTCGCAGCTGCTGTCGCCGGAGGACTGGCGCTCGATGGCCGCCGGACTGGAGGGGGCGGCATTCGAGTCGAGGGTGGTGGCGCCCGTCTCGCTGTCCTTGGGCGTGGTATTGTCGTTTTCTAGGGGGGCAACAAGGGGTCAGGGCATTAATACACCGAGAGAAAGCAGCTTGTCTTACAACTAAACAAATGCTATTAACCTTTACTGTGCGTTAAATATTAATATTGGTTTTTGGTATATTTATTTTTGTTATTATATGTTTTATTATCATGACAAGAAATGTAAATTTAAAATTTTTTAAAATTTTATCCATGTTTTTTAAGAACTTTTCATATAATATATCATATGCTATCAACCTTTGTTTTATCCTAAATATTCTTATTATATTTTTGTTTTCATTCATTTTATTCGAATGATAAAAAATTTAAATTTTTAAATCAGAAATATTTTTATAACTTTTTAAGATATTAGCATATCAAGGGGATCAAAGGGTTAAGAAACTGAGAGAATTCAAAGTAAATATAAAATAACTTAGATGCTTGTAAAATGCTTATTGCTTTTATTATTTATATTCAAATGGCAAGAAACGGTTATTTTGAAATACAAAAAAATATATTATGTTATACCTGGTTTAAGATCTGTACATAAAACTGAATACATTTAGTTACTTTTTAAGATATAATATATAGGTTGTATCTATGAGGTTTGTTTTTATTTGATCCCTAAGATATTTCTTAGACTCACTGAATACATTTAGAATATTTTAAAAAAATCTTTAAAAATGTAGGCTAGATGAAAAAATAAATCTATAGCTTGTATCTATGAGGTTTGTTTTTGTATCTTCAAGATATTTTTAAGAACTCACCATCTACTAGCCGCTTGGGCGTGCTGCTGGCTCCGTCGGCCAGCAGGTCCGCCGGACTCGGTGGTGGTGTGTGTATCCTGGAGCCGCTGGCCGTGCTGCTGGCCGCCGCCGCCGCTGCTGCCGCCGCTGCTGCAGCCGCTGCCGCTGCCGCTGCGACCGCTGCTGCCGCCGACGCGGGAGCGGACTTGCGACCGGAAATGGGGGCGGAGATCGAGGGGCGGCGGTTGACGAGGCTGAGCGGACGACCCTCCTCCGCGTCGCGATCCATCTGCGGATTCTGGGTGGCGCACTGGCCGTAGTTCTCCTTGTTGCACTGCAGCACCTTGTGCTGGATGAACTTGAGAATGTCCGAGAGGGCGAACGCCTTCTGGCAGGCGCCGCACGTGAGGATGTCCTGTGTGGCCACGGCATCGTTCTCTGTGGAGTCGGAATCTGCAAGATACACAAGAGGGTCTCCATTAGCCATGGCAGTCCATAAATATTCCCCGGTTTATTTTCGCCAGCCCGCAATTTATGGAGGGCCGCGCATCTTCATTAATTGTTCTCAGTGCATGAGGAAAATCCCCCTTCACCCAGATAAGCAAATATGCCAGCGAATGCCGAATATCCGTGCACTTTAATTTATTTGCCGAAAATGCCAGGGAATACAACAATAAAAATAGCCCAACAACCAACAACCGCCCCCCTAAAACCGCCTCAGTATATTTGCATATGTGGGAGAAGGAGATTCCCAGTTGCCAGTTCTGAATTTAGGATTTCGGTTTGGGTTTTTCGGTTTTCTGTTTTCGGTTGGTGGTGGATTGATTGTGTGTGCATGACCATAAATTCCAGTAGCTGTGCAATTAATTCGGTTGCTTTTTGCCACATAAATGTACATACGTACATACGTATAGTATCTGCGGTTGTCATGGCTTATCTGGCCCAGAAATTAGCAACACCAGTGAATGTGGAACAGCCCAACAGCCCAACAACTTAAGCGCCCCGAAGGCAGTTGAACTTTTGTTTTCGATTCCATCGACAGGACTTGATTGACCAGAATGGTTTTTGTGGGTTTGTAGTGGGGGTACCATAGAAATATAGAAGAAATACAGGAAAACGGAAAAATAAAATAAGGGAACACCACTGCTTTCGCCGCAGGACACTCGGGGGAAAAAGTTGAAATCGAAAATGCATAAGTTTTCGGTCAAGCGAAACTTTCTTTTTTTTCTTTATTTTGCATGCCCATCGTCTAGAAAAAGCATAAATATGCTCTCATACCAAAAAATCTCATATATATTTATTATCTATCAACTATTTATTACACATTTTTGCCCCTTGTTTTTTATCCATCAATTGAGTGACTTTAATCAAAGACATCATCCTCAATTACACAGGACATTCCCCGCCACAGTTGTCAATTAGGAAATAGATCTATGAATTATTGACTCCCTGTCGCTTTGCCACTTGTCCTCTCTCTCTTCATATATGGTATATATATGGTATGTATTTTTTATGTCCATTCCGGGGGCAGTTCGAATTGACAGCAATTTGCGGTTTGCCCGGGTCCAAACAATAACTAATGCGCCCTAAGCGGGGATATCTTTTCCCCGCCCTTCCAATTGTCCTGCCAGGAGCTACGCTTTTTTTTGGTCGTCCTCCTCCTTTTTTACCAATTGATTGTCCTGCGAGGATGAGGGTGATACACACACACGATGTCGCCTGTAATTTCTGCTGATTGAATGGGTGGGCTATGCTCAATTTTCGCTTTTATTTTCTATCATAAAATAGTATGCTATTTTCCTACCCAAAAAAAAATATGTTCGATTGACCTTTTTTCTCGGGCATTTTCCAGCTGATTATTAGTGTTTTATTTATTGATTGGCCGGCCTGCCATTGGCCAGGCCCAAAAACAATGGGAAAACATACGCCAAACAGGTAAAGGTAAAGGTATCTTTTACCTGCTGTCTTCTCGAAATAAAGGGGGCGTGGTTAGATAGATATAGGAACAAATGGCCCGGGGGCGTTGCCCTATGATATTTGCCTAAGCGATTAGATTAGATATTTGCTCAGAGATTAGCAAAAGACACAGACTGCAAGTTACGATTGTTTATGAAAAGGAAAACTTATTGACAGCATGATGCACAATATTGCGCCAGCTGAAGAGGGTTAATAATATCTAAGAGGGGGTGGAGAGGGACAGAAAAACAGGAAACAGGAAAAGGTGAAAGGGTGTGAAGCTGTCAAACGTGTCAGTTCGGCTGACAAGTGTCAACAGAGTCCTTGCCAAATAGATTTCATAAAAGTGCCAGCTTAGCGAGACCGAAAAGTCATAAATTGCATTAACCCTTTTTCGCCGGGCAGTGACCAAATCGAATGCGATTTAAGCAGTTCAAATAGTCAATATAAAGAAATGTAGTATAATTCTATTGATAATATTTCTAGGATATGTTGGCACAACTTCCAACTAATTTGGTATGCATTTCTTCACTCTCTCGATAAAGTCTTACATTTTTTCTGCCTGTAGAAATCACAATTTATTAGCTGGTCTGATGTCATTGGCATCTTTTACCCTCTTGCATGTATGCGTAATTAATTCAGCCCCCGGAACTGAGAAAATAAATTGAAGTGCGTCGATTTGTTAACCGCGCAGCTTAAGTCAAATATTTACGAGCTGCGACTTTGGCCCAAAGCACTCCTGGCCATTTAATGCAAGCCTGCGGCCATTAATATCCCCCTATAAGGATATATACTTATATATATGTGTGTTTATATCGCAAAGGGGGCTAGCCAAGTAGGACAATTAAGAATTAACATATTAATAGAAGTTTTGCGCAAATTATCAGGACAAGAAAATATGAAATTCGTTCGGCTCCTTGTATTTTTGTTATTTATAACGTTCTCGTGCTATTGACTGTCCAGGGTTGGGGGCGTGGCAGGGCGAAAACAATACGTTGATTGTGCTAATTTATGCCCCCATCCTTACCACACACACACATGCATGCATATATATACATACACATACACATGCCAGGAGTCGAAGGATTCGAGGGATTCGGTTTTATGGCCCAAAGGTTATGGGTGGCTGGTATATCTGTGGGTATGCCATAAAAACCAGGCAGAGAGCGCCACATGGTCGTCCTCGTCGGCTGTTTTTAGGTGCTCGCAGTCGCAGGACGAAGGACGAAGGACACGGCATCCCGATGAAAAATGGCGTCAGCCACGAAAAACTGGACCAACTATTGGTGGGGGAAAACTTAGCTAAACTTAGGCCTCTTTAAGGTCTTTAAGGTTTCAGTTTTGAAGAAAACTATAATACTATATACATATATTAAATCCTCATATTATTATATATGATAATACATTTCCAAATCCAATCAGCAAAATCGAAGCCCTAAGACAGCTGACTGGTTATCCAGTTATAATGACTCCAAGTGCTCCACTTCGTTGACGGGTGTTTAAATAAAAAACAACATGGAAATAATAATAACGAACGCCCCGAAAATGCTGAGTAAATATTTAAAGACAACACTGAAAGCGTTCCTTGTAGTATTGTTTTTTTGGCCAGCTCATTTAAAAGTTTAACAACAACAAAAAGGGTTAAACAAATTCAAAGTTCTTTTTTTTATGGCGATAACAGTCGGCGGGGGCGTAATATAAGTAGTAGTAAATACATATATCTACATATATGTTGTGTCCAACAGGCAGTTGGTTTTTAAAAAACATTTTTTTTTTGGCTGACAGTGACAAAGCGACGTCAGCAGCTGAAAAACTGAAAATCAACTGGAGTCAAGCGGCCCCCGACTTAATTTGTTTAAACAAATTACGTGTGGATAACACAGCGATACGGATACTCGTACATGGAAAGGTGTTTAGCAGCTGAAACTATAACAAACAGAGCGGTATGTGTGGCATATGATAATATGATATATATATATATATGGTATGGTATATAGTAACGAATGTGGAATCACAATGATTTTTGTTGTGCGGGGGTGCAACAATACCGAGTATCGAAGCCCCGAAGCCTTATCACACCGGTCGCCTTCGCAAAGTGTTTTAGCATACAAAATTTGGTTTTATTTGCCTACTGTCCCCCAATAGAGCCCCCTTTTCCTAGAGTTTCAGGGGGTATTTTCGGGTAAAAAACGAGGAGAAGAAGCGGTTAGCCAAAAGCTAGCGCTGACTGCTGATAACACCCGCATATGGCGGCAAGGTAAGCGACTGGATATCTGGACAAACAAATGAGCAAACAAATGGAACCTGGAACCCCGACCGACCGTAAACCGGAGACCAGAGACCAGAGACCCGTAGACGGACGGTACGGACGGTACGGGCGGTACGGACCCACAGTTACCCCGCCAGGTTGAGTGAATGAGCCATATGCAAATATGGTCGCGGCCTGGAATCGGGCATTAACATATAGTCCACGTGTGCGACTGTCTGTGTGTTAAAGCTGGACACACATGGCGACTGATAAGCCAAAGGAAATGGGTACAAGGCATGACTACGAAAAAAAAAGAAGAACAGGGCCTTACAAATTCACAGCAATTAATATTTATATATAGCCAGGTGAAAACTGAAGTACATTTAGTGGCAAATGGTTAAGCCTTTTTCAAGAAGTTTAATGCCACATAAAACAAATTAGATTATAAAAAATACAAAATAAATATTGATTCTTTTATTAGAACCAGAGGTTAAGAAAAACTCTACTATCTCTAATAAAAAATATAATTCTATGTATTTATTGCAATAGATCATCTTATTTTTTACAAACTTATTATTCTATCTCTTTAAAAAAAAGATCACCTCAATATTTCTCGAGCACCCATCTAACCCTGGGTTAACTATAACTGTACTTCCGGTTAGCTAAAATCCAATTGGTCTTTTGATGTCGCGCCTTGTTTGAACATCCGTTTGTAATCGAAATGTAAGTTTTAGGTGGACCGATGGCAAAAGACCCGCTCTATTTGCTTAGAGCCAATGAAATGTTCCCATTGTTGTCCCCTGCTCACTTCTTTTGATAAGACATATGTGGCTTGTAAGTTTTACTTTTCATTTTCAGGTCGTTGGTGTTTTTTTTTTGTTCTTGTTTTTTGTCGCTAAAATATTTGTATTTGTATTGTGAGCAAGGTGCAGAGAGGCGATATAGAGAGGTTTGTTTTATTTCCCGAAAGTCAACGACAGCCACGACGGACATATGTAAATATAGCTGCGATCCATATAGGTAGGTAAGTAGGTTGGCCCCTCTGTACCCTCTGTACCCCCCATACCACTAACTGTGTGTGTGTTGGTGTGTGGTTGTGGGTGCGGGCGTTGGCTTATTGTTGTTCTGGTTGTTCTTCCCAGTACAACGCGCTTATCAAAAATTGTCCGCACATTTGCCTGGTTTTTTTTTTATTTTTGTATCTATTTGGGGGACAACACGGAGCTACAACGGCGAATGATTAAAGAGA